CCTATATATTGATTATTTTAATAGGGGGGGAGGGTCAGAATAGACATATTACGCCCATCATGTAAGTTCATGTTACCAAACTGACGATTCTATAAACTAAAGACAAGCAGGAAACAGAAAACGGTGCGCTAGACCTTGCAGGCAAAAAACATAAATAGTGAATTGTTGCTATAGCAACCTAAACGAGATGCAGCCTAGATATAAGCCACGACTTGGTGACATGTCATATCATGGTGCGTCATGATGCCAGGATGCAGGTAAATTTGTTATATATAACTAGGTGCAATACGAATTCAAGCGATGTTTTTACTTAGAATGACGTATCCACAAAAAAGAAAACATGTGTTTTTTTGTGGATACGTCAATCTAAGTAAAACACACCGACACTGCTATGCTGCGTAAAATATTTTATGATTCATAAATCACTAGTTGGCTTTTGTGATCGCTTCGGCACGTTATTGACAAGTTCATACACAAGTTATTCCTCACCTAATCTTGGATACGCACCTAATCTCCACTCCCCAAGAGCTAGTGTTGTTTAAGTGATTAGCTAGCCCTGTCCCTTACCGTACACCACTCACATATCTTTATATTGACAGTGAAAAGCGAAGGTACCAGTTTGAGTGGCAGTTGCAGTAACGTGAGTGCCTAAGTTACCTTAACGTGAGTGGTTAACTCTCCTTGGTGCAATACCAACGTCTTCCCCGAGATCTAATATATATTTGAGTTCGTATGTATGTATGTATGTATGTATCTTCCCTATAGGCGGCCAAACCGCCAAGCGATCTGGATGCAATTTTCACAGGGCCATCTGTTATTTCCGGGGAGTGTTCCTAGACGAAAAAATCTGTCAAACCGTCAAACTCACCGAGAAATCCGTCTAAAACCCTTGAATTCGTGAAACTTCAGACAATGTCAGCACTCACTGTACAGTGCTGCCACACACAGAAAAACCTATGACTATTTCTTGCCCTCACCTCATGATCTCATCAGCTGCTGGTATTGTGAAACCGAAAGCGAAACCAATACTAAAACAGAGCATAACCAGGACCAGTTCAGAGGTACTACTCACTCTGAGTTGAGAGTTTTAGTTCAGATGCTACGATCTCAGAATGCATTGTACCATTCCAAAGCTATGCATTTTCTGATTCAATAGGAAAATCTCTTAATTTCAATGTGCATGGTTGCGCGCCAAGCATTTACTAGACAATATCCAGTGGACACAGACCCCACTCGCTGGCCTGTCTCTATCTATACTATATATGCAATTTCTTTTATTCGTGGTACGATCTCACAATGGGGAGCTCAACAGTTGGATACGCCAGGAATCTCTACATATTTGCACCAGAGAATAACACGAATTCAAGAATAAGACAGAGACAGAGAACAACACGAATTCAAGAATAAGACAGAATAACGGAATTTACACCATATTACTATTATGTCCCAGGGGTTCTAAGTTGGGTTGTGCTGTCATACAAATTTCATACGTAACAGTTTTTCCCCATGCTTATTATCTTATTAGACTGATTTCTAAATATTGATATTGTGTGCAATGTTATTGTCGATTTTTACCCAATGTTCCTATTGTGTCCCATTATTAGTAGTATGAATTAGTAGCACGATTTTACCCAGCGCAGCGGGTACCCGCAGCTAGTATAACATATTTCAGCAATGTTCCACGCAAACTTCACATCACGAGATGTCTGATTGCCAATCAACATACCGGGTCTAATTACGTGTGAGTGAAATCACACTGAACGCATTACCAATTTTTGTTAATTAACAAGCATATACATCCGACCACATTTTAAAAGGTAACCTTGATCATATATGTGAGGGTAACAGATCCAGAATCTGAGATCCATGCACCCATGTTGAGCGCAGTTAACAAACTGCCACCTGCACCAGACAACAGAGAGTTAACTATTACAGGTGCAAAACAAAAGATTGCCACGCAGTGACGTGAGATATGGTGTACGGTTTGTCAATTTAGTCCAACCATATGTCGGTTTACAAACACACATCATATTTTCCGCCAACCATACACATTGTACCGCCACCAATTGTTATTTATAAAAACCTTATCTTACTTTACAGAAACACGTGTTCATTTTTCCTACCAACAGGATTCGTGCGCCACCGAACCACAAATCCCCCCACAGTAGTTTGCTAAACCAACACTATACTAGTAGTTGGTCAGCGAACGATACAAGTATAGTTTGCGCAGAAAGATGGTTTTCCGCGCGCAGTGTGCAACCTTTGACCTGCGTACGTGGCGCGATAACGTAGCCTCGGGCGCATATGGCGGCCGCCGATTCCGAACCCCCCAACGCCCACCACTCCTATTGAGCACGCTGGCGCATTGTAAACAGCCGTTAACAATACCCCCGCCCCACCCCACCACCACCATGCGCTATTAAGCTATGGGCCGTAGGAAATTAAAGTGTACTAACTCTAATATCTCGCGAACAAATTGGGTTACATTTCTAAAATTCGAGATACATATAAACACATGTCTTAGCTATGGTCTCTGTGAATTTTATTGACGCATGAATAGTTCAATTCATTACCAAAAATATACGCGTGGTATCGCTCATATAGGCTACTATATACGTATTGTACTGGGAAAGTGTTGATGATCTCCGTGTAATTCTGTAGTGTCGACAGCGTAGAACGTAGCAGCGTTGTTTTGTTAGCAAATGGTAGAGCCGTAGTCACAGATTAGTTGTTTCACTTGGATTTTATTACTTACTTAACACATACAAAATATATACAATACCACAGCCTAGGCAACATGCCTAGGCTCCGGCGACCGTCTGGATCTGTCTCCGACTCACTACATAAGTCTCTCTCTAAAGTTGCGTTTACACTATCGATTTTTGTCAGCAAATCGTCCGAGTCGTGCAAAATAGAACACGTTCTATTTCTCCAACTCGGTGACTTGACTCCGACTCCGACTCCAACACAATCGAATTTCAGCCAATTAGTTGAAATGCACTTGGGTCAAGTCGGGGGCAAGTTGGAATGCACTTGAAATCGCTACGATTTGGTGACAAAAATCGATAGTGTAAACGCAGCTTAAATCTTATCTCCTTTTGTTTGACAATTGCTGCTTATATATATCGGCTCGAAACCGGATCTAGCCGAAACTAGTCTGCCAAAACCAGACTTTGGCTAAAGCAACAAGCGACGCCCATTCACAGGTGCGTCCTATCCTTAGCGCAAGGCGGATGCAGGAGGGCGCGCCCGTCCATTGTCGTTTGCGCGCCGCGTCAACCACTCTTATTCATGTAGATGCTCTAAATGTGACGTGCCAAGCGTCACGTTTTATTGCCACTGCTTGCTGAATACAATATACACACGGCTATATGGACGGTAGAAAGGTGTACTAACTACCATATGGCGCGAACGATTTGAGTTACATTTCTAAAATTCTAGATACATATAAACACATGTCTTAGCTGTGGTCTCTCTGAATTTTGAGTTTATTGAAGCACGAATAGTTTAATTCGCTCATAGGCTAAAATTTCCGCGCGTTCGTGAGATTATTCCCGAAAATGTCAATTTCAACGTTATGAATCTATATATATAACATGTGTCTATATGTATCTAGAATTTTAGAAATGTAACTCAATTCGTTCGCACCATATGATAGATAGTACACTTTTCTACCGTCTATAGCCGTACGTATATTAGCCTATGAGCGATACCGCGCGTATATTTTTGGTAATTAATTAAACTATTCGTGCTTCAATAAACTCAACGGTGATTATAGCTACGACATGTGTTTATATGTAGCTAGACTGTTAGAAATGTAACTCAAATCGTTCGCGCCATATGGTAGTTATATATAGTACACTTTTCCACCATCCATAGCCGTACGTAATTAGCCTATGAGCGATACCGCACGTATATTTTTGGTAATTAATTAAACTAATCGTGCTTCAATAAACTCAAAGTTCACGGGGATTATAGCTAAGACATGCGTTTATATGTATCTAGAATTTTAGAAATGTAACTCAAATCGATCGCGCCATATGATAGTTAGTACACTTTTCTACCGTCTGTAGCCGTGCGTATATTAGCCCATGAGCGATACCGCGCGTATAGTTTTGGTAATTAATTCAACTATTCGTACTTCAATAAACTTCAAAATTCACAAAGACCATAGCTAAGACATGTGTTTAGATGTATCTCGAATTTTAGAAATAAATAGGTAACTCAATTCGTTCGCGAGATATTAGAGTTAGTACACTTTCCTACGGCCCATAGCATGCTTAATAGCGCATGGCATAGCTTAATAGCGCATGGTCGCATAGCGCAGAATCGGCGGCCGCCATATGTGCCCGAGGCTACGTTATCGCATCATGTACGCAGGTCAAAGGTTGCACACTGCGCGCGGAAAACCATCTTTCTGCGCAAACTATACTTGTATCGTTCGCTAGCAGACCAACTACTAGTATAGTGTTGGTTTAGCAAACTAGTGTGGGGGGAATTGTGGTTCGGTAGCGCGCGAATCCTGTTGGTAGGAAAAATGTACACGTGTTTCTGTAAAGTAAGATAAGGTTTTTATAAATAATATGTTGGCGGCATTACAATGTGTATGGTTGGAGGAAAATATGCTGTGTGTTTGTAAACCGACATATAGTTGGACTAAATTGACAAACCGTACACCATAGACAGAGTGAGACACCCATTACTGGTACCTCTGCTACTTCTGCACTCTGCTGGACATTTATGTTAAATGCATCATTAGTGTTAGTAGATCCGTATACAAGTTTTTCAGGTACAACCTATAATTTGGCCATTCAGAAAGCACTCAAAAAAATGTTAAGTGTTTGCATTGAAAACTGCCTTTACACCACCGCAAGATACGAGAATACTTCAGTGAATGCTAGTGCCATCACACATATTTTCTTGTGTATTGGGATCAATAGGAATTGGTCTGGGTGATCAAAGCAAAGTGTTTGAATCAGTAGGTATATATGCAGTCTTACACTGTGCTTTTTAGCATCCTGCGTCATCAGAATTGCGACGTTGTTCAGTCTGTGAATGTCACTCTCATAGGCTTTGATCTCACTCTCTATCTGCTTATGCCTTTGCAACAATGCCTGCATAAACAATAACAAAGAAACATTCCAATATAATGCTAAGTACAAATTGGGTTGCAAACCGCAACCCGAAGATAGCAGTTACTACTAATTGAAAAATCCAATCAGCTGAGAAATTTTCAGTTTTCTGTCACAATATATCTGATCTTATTGACGAGATTAAAAGACAGACACGACGTATTCATCTTATAGTAAGCTGCATTTATGACTTATACTGTTACATATAAAGCATTCAGTCAAGGGTTGATTACAGATACATGCTAGCTCCACCCTATCTGATCTTAATATAATTATTATATTTGTAAATTTATTACTTAAAGACCATTTGTTGTTTGCATCAACTACCTGAGCCCCCTTCTCATCCTTGCCAAAGTCGTCACTTGCAGCAATGGGCATCCTCTCCCTCATCCATTGCTCTGCTTCTTCTGCATCAGCATAATACTGAAAACAATTTTCAATCAATATAATCTAACAGATATTCATACATCTTTATTTCCATAACTGTCTCTCTCTCAGCTCACCCCCTCTCTCTATCTCTTCCTAACCACCTTACTCTTCCCTCACTCCCTAACTGCTTCCTTTCACTCCCTCCTTCTCACTCCTATCTCTCTATTTCTCTTCCCTCTCTCACTCTCTTTCTCTCTCCATCTATCACCCACTCTCGCTCTTTCGCTCTCGCTTTCAATCACTCTATTTTTCATGCCTCATTTTCCATCTACCACCTCCACCTCTACCCCTTCTCACTCTCTTTCTATCTCTCTCTATCTATCTATCTGTCTGTCTATCTGTCTGTCCGTCCGTCCGTCCGTCCGTCCGTCCGTCCGTCCGTCCGTCCGTCCGTCCATCCATCCATACAGCCATCCATCCATCCATCCATCCATCCATCTATCGCTCTTGCATACACTCTTTCTCTGTTTGTCAGCCATCTACAGCTATCAGTGACCATCTTTAATGTGAAAATCATTCATGTTTCTAACCAAGATTATGCTACTGCGGCACTGTACTCAACCACGGCACATGTAGGAATATATCGTGTGCTGTTGTTCCCGTTTGCCCACCTGCGCTGCCTCCGCAGCATCATTGAGCTTGGTTTGTCGTGCCGCTGCCAGTTGCAGCAGTGTCTGCCACTCTTGCTGCAGCGTGTTGATGTGTGCATTAACGGTGGATGCCTGTGGGTGACCAGCCTCCAGTAACTCTACAGATCTCTCACACACCTGGTTAGCAATGGCTGCATGTGCTTTAATCTCAGCCTCCAATACCTGCAAATATGCATGAACTGACTGAACACATGTAAACACACACAGACACACGCACGCCTGCACCCACCCACGCACGCACACACACACACATTTTCAACTGATACTTAATAATACATTTGTGTGGAATATCTGAGGTTTTTCTAAAAGAAAATTATAATTACTAAAATATTTAGCATACTCTATAAAATTACAACATGGCTAAAAGTCTTTCGGTAGACCTGCGTAAATTTTGAGCATCATCTAGTGTAACAAGGTACTGCAGGGAAGATATGAAGACTATTCGTTCACAAAATAAACGTGGGTCATCCAGAAAAAAGATGAATGTAACTGTTACTCAATGAGAAATAGCAATGTCAATAATCATTCCCAACGAAGCAAGACAAGTAAGTGTAACTAGAGTTTGAACCCAACAGATGCCTTACCTCGTGTGCCTGCTGCTGCCGCAGAACGAGGTACAAGTCATGACTGATTTTCCCCTGTGGCTTGAGAAGGCTCTGCGTTTCCTGTAGCCAAGCCTCCTCCTCTAGGGCATCCACCAGCACCTGCTGTTGTTTCTGGGACTCCTCCAGCCCACTGCGTCTCTTCTCACACTTCATCAGCAACCTATTTACATCGAAGAATGGCTGCTTAATATGGGTTCATTGCGCTTCAATCGTAGTCACGACCAATTAAACTACTAGACTCCAGGTATGTTATTATTGGATTTCCAGCAACTTTACACAAACTGTTTCACAGAATTATGGTTTGAGTTCGAATTTTACTGAGATTTTAAGGTTGAATTACATGTTAATTCATCTATTAATAATAATATTCAGGTCACTCACGATAAATTTTTATTTTAATTAGAAAACCAAACAATTCAATTTAGTTCCAATTTCTTGCACATATAGTAGACACATGTATGTAGTTGATCAGTTAAAAATTGTCGGTCACTTGCTAAGTTTGGTAACAATAAGTAAGACGCCAATTTGACGATCTTGTTTCAATATGCAACCCATGCACGTACGCTCTGTAGTCATTATTCAGTTCTCCGACAGTCTTCTGAAGTACGGGACTGTCTTTGGCACACTGGACATTGACAGATTCATTTATGCCTTTCACCCGCTCTCCAAGTGCGGTTAGCGCAGTCTCCACAAGCCGATGCATGTCAACTAGATCATCAGCTATGGTGAGCTCATTGCCGTAATCTTCTGATGATACCCTTGGCTGAACAGAAAACACGCTTGCTAGGCCAAACCTCAAAATTGTGATTTGTGACTAAATGAACAACGTGCCACAGGGTAATGATTAACCATTTCAATATGGATATATGAAACACTGCACATTCCTACAACTGCCTTTAATACCAAAAGACTACAATATATTACTGTTCAAAACTAACATATGGAGTGTGCCTGACTCGATATACCCGGTATATATAGATAGGTAATTCATGTTGGTATGATCATTAAGAAAATAATTTTTACTTCTATATAAACACCTGACCTGTTTCAGAAGGGGTCTTGAGGCATGGCATATGGATTCACTAGTTTGCAGAAAAAAATGCTCTCACAATTTTACTGTGTATGGCAACATGAAATGAAGGAGTGATGGAATGGAAAATGAATAAAATGTTCCCCAACTCCGATATTGTGTACATACCTCGATATAGCACATCTCCTCTTGTAAAGTTGCACAGCTTCTCAGTACGTGCATCACACACTGGACGTTGTCAAGTGCATTCTTCTTCTCCTGCAGGCAAGTTACCAGGTCTGCCCAGCCCTCTGCAATGTCATCTTCTCTGCAATATGAGAACAGCTGTACAACATGGACTATTAAAGGGACACATACGACTCTAGGTTCCTAGAATATTTTTAGTTCAAATAGGTTTAAATTACGCTATGTAAAAATTCCATTGTTCAATATTCATTAGAAATGTTTTAGGAATTTTAAAACTGACAGTTATGCCATTGCTTATAATGATGGTGGCACCACTACTAGCGCATTCACTGGTAAGGCAGCGCAATGCAACTTTTCGGCTACAAGCTACAGACCGATGGTGTTTCTTATTTATTAATTTAAGATGAGAAGGATTGCAATGCCTTATAAACAGCTCTTAGTTTTAGTAATACTATGGACGAATTTGTCCTAAAATAAAAATCGTTCGGCTAAATAGTAATTGGGTATATATAATTGCGCTTTCGTGATTAGCCCTCAGTCTGTAACATGCAAAATAAATCAACAGAAGCGCAACTTCGTCAGAGTGGCAGCACAATCGCGGGGTGTCATGTCAGTGGTCAAAAATAAAGATTTTGAAACTCACCATTGTTTTATCCCAAATGTGAATGCGTGATAATAGAAATTTGTAGGTATATTATATATACTATTATTTATGCAACTCCCATCACAATATTATTAAAATAAAATTCTAGGGTTTAGTATCCCTTTATTGAGGCATTGGCATAAGAGGTCATTTATTTATTGGTTTTACTCACTGAATCTGTCAATGGTCAATCTGTTATGTGACTATATTATCTCTTGTATGTATGTATACTAACCTTTTTTTGATGAGCTCAGCACCGTGGTAGTCCGACTTCACAAGCATATCTGCCATTCGACTGAGCATAGAAAACCTGTCCTTCTGCATGAATAGGCGAGAAATATTGTTGATAGGGACAAACAGATTGATGGTATGCTATTCTACAAACCTCATCTAGATCTGTAGATACTTCCATCTAGTGCATGGCACAATATAGAGAGGACTAGACTGCAAGTATTGTTAATCCCGTCATGCCATGTTGTTTTATGATTCTGACGTGAATTAAACTGATCAACAGTACATCAATTTTTGGTGAGAACAAAGCAAAGATGTCTCACCTATATTTCACAATGATAAGATACTTCAAAAACCTATCCATCTTTCTCATAATCCTACAATATTTTCTATTTAAATTTTCCTTGTGTATTTTCGCAGCAGGTTTACTAAGAATTCTTATCCAAATATATTTGTAATTTAGCACATAGATGGTGTGTACATATACTTATAGTAAATATGTAGTATGATATTGTATTACCATGACATTACTGCAACTTACCCGCGCCTGCACTTCAGCAGTGAGCGTCTCATGGCGCTTCATTGCTTGTTCAACATCCTTCATTGTACTCCCCATCTTCTCCTGCTCTATGACCTTGTTGATGTCACTGAGCCAATTTTCGCGTAGCACAGCCTTTCTGTCAAACTTCTCAGCCAGCTGCTCCAGTGTCTCCCCCCTGGGGTGCACACAGCAACGCTATATCTACATCTGGCAATCATTTCTAGCTAGAATGCTACTTATCCACCAACCTTCTCTATTCAGCAATGTGATTAAGATGTGTTAGATTTAAAGTAAATTTGATCAATTACACAAATCCATATGCTAATGGGTAGCCACATGGTGACCCTACAAGATGACTACCATTATAAAATGCAGAAAATGATAGCATGATATCAAAAGACCATTGCAAAATTATTGCTTGATTCAAACAAACATGTCAAATTCACACAAAAGTGGCAAGAGATGCACCTTGCCAAGTTGTCATGCAATGCCAGTTCTCTTTCATGTTCAGCTTTTTCTAGCTTCTGCCAGGCTTTCTCTATGTCACTGACTAGCATGCCCTCTGGTGTTAGATATGATTTCTTTCCTTCAGACGTCAGCTGGGTTTGTATAGCGAATAGTTGTGCCTCTAGATCACCCATTTGTTTGGACCTGTTATATTATCATGTTTGTTATTATATAGTCATGGCAATTTAGACATATATTTATGCTTTATATTATTAGAATTAGGATATCTATACAGTTTATTCTACCAAAAACCATTCACCCTCCTGATGTGCGTGTGTGCATGCGTGCGTGCATGCGGGCGTCTGTGTGTGTGCGCGCACATGCATGCATGTGCGTGTACGTACCTCCTCCCTGTATCACTGTTCAACAATGAATAATAAACACCAAGCGAGTAATTGTCCGGGAGGTAAATGTCCGGGGGTAAATGTCTGGGGGTAAATGTCCGGGGGGTAATTGTCCTGGGGGTAAATGTCCGGGGGGTAATTGTCCGGGGGTAAATGACCGGGGGTAAATGACCGGGGGGTAATTGTCTGGGGGGTGATTGTCCGTGGGTAATTGTCCGGGGGGTGAATGGCATGGAGGGTAATTGTCCGGGGGGTAATTGTCCGAAGGAGTAATTATCCAGGGGTAATTGTCCGGGGAGTGATTGTCCGGGGGGTATTTGTCCTAGAACCATATATATATATACACATATTATATCGATATATAAAAATACCCATCATTACTTTGGGCGTTTCTCTACGGTTCTGTATTCATGAAATCGGCTCAGCTCCTGTTGAGTTTCCTCCAAATTATTAGGCAGGTTCCTCTCATTAAGTTTCTCTGTCTTTTCCTCCATCCACTGCAGCAGTTCGCGTGCACCTGTCTCATACTCTTCCTTCTTGTTATCACTCTCTATCAGCAAGTTCACAACCTACAAAGTTTGGTGCATTTTTACTTCGATTTAGATTTTTCTTTGCACTTTCATTTAGAATCTTTGCCATTTCAGGTGTTGAACCTATTGAACTTACACTGTAATACTTATTCCGTAAGAAAGTAAAAACTATATTTTTATTGACTAAAGATATATTATGATCAAACATATCATATAATAAATCAGTCTGGAACATTCTTTCTACTGTAGTATAGTGATCATCCCTTACCTTGCCAATACGTTTACTACTTGTAGCTTCCTCTTTCATCTTAGCAAACGTCTGGTAACAGGCTGCCACATATGTCATTATCGATTTCTCATCTGGTCTCAAAACATCAACATCTATAAATAAATTGTAATAGATATTGGATTAATTTTATCAAGATAAGCTGTGGTTATAAGCCAGCATAATTAACCACACACGAGTACCTCAAAGACCCAATGAATTTAGCATCATATCCTTGAGATAATATAAGATGATATAAGTTGCCTTACTATAAAAAGTTTATTAATTGATATCTGAACATGGTCGAATATGCAATGGTGGTGTACATAGACCAAGCTGGCAGGATCAACAAAAAGGCAACCAAAATGGAATATAACTTTATCAGGAAGGTCTCTTATTATTGTTCCTAAATTCAGTATTGTCATTAACATATTTAAACATTGCCATTTAACACTCTGTATTAAAGTGATTACGTCACCGTAAATAGTAAAAAAAAAAAAATCCACTTTTTTACGAAATATAAGTAATTCTGTTTACTTTTTATAGTTAAATTGCTCCATTATAATTCTTATTTTACTATATTGTTCGATGTGAACATACACTCGTGACTCATACATAGCCCATTACATACATAGCAAGCAATTAATGTTAGGAACACTAATATCAAATCGTCCAGGTTTTTTGGATTTTTAACTAGTTGAGAAACAATCTTATCAGGTAAGAATTTGACGATACGTTTAGTCCCGTTAGTTTTTACTTTTAATGTAAAAAAATTGCAACAAAAATTTTAGAAATTTTACCACAGAAAATTCGTGACGTAGTCAATTTAAACATACCTTCAGCATCGAGCAGCCTGTGAACTCCAAGTTCCCTTTCTGCCAGATCAAATGCTTTGTTCAAGTTTTTCTCAGGCTCCTCTGGGTCAAGACTGTCATAGTCCACTAGGTCTGGCCTGTAACAGTATGTTCCACTGTGCACATATTGATCAAACACGTACCATAAAGTATTTACAATATAAAAGCTTATCATCATAAACCGCTATACTAGTTTTTAGAGCATCCTTGGTCAGTCCCCACATAATAATTCTGGGAATGATACTATAAGATCTTATACAGGTTTCACAAGCAATCTTTAGCAAGGTAATTTAAAAATTCATATTTTCACAACATATGCTATAGTTGTGAATTAGATATGATGACTGATTGATGTAGTACTGCACAGTCATGCAAGACCGGTACCTGTGCGCATGTATGAGCGCATTAAACGCCATCCCATCTCGCCAGCTTCTGGTGAAATCCTTCACGTCACAGTTGGCATGGCTGCAATACCACACACAATATGCAGGAAAATTCCAATAACATGTTTACACAGTCAAACTTCATTTCATACATCAGAATGTTAATTACCAATAAATTACATAAGTTCATGAATAATTTAGTAATCATGTTACAGCTTAAGGACAGATTCATTCATCTGTATGGGATTACCAAGTATACTGTGAATTATGACTATAGCCAATCCACAGGACTGCCCAACCAGCCAACAAGAAAACGTAGTACTGTTTATAATTACGTATTTACCTCTCAGTTTTGCTCTGGCACCACAGCAGCAGGGCTTCCTTGGCTGATTTCTTTTCTATTCCCTCAACAATTTGTACCTGCATGCAATCAAGGAATTGATTATTGCATAAAAAGCTATCTAAATGTACCAATAAAAGCCATATGATCGCAAGATTATTAATAAATTATAGTTCAAATAAAAATAACACAATTATACTGTACGCATCATGCATAGCTGTCTGCACTCAACAAATTTAAGATCTGCGCAGGAGTACAATTGTATGTACAACAAGTGCCGCCCCAGCAGCGGACACGCCGCTCAAACTGATGTGTACTGTAGCCGGGTATTCTTCTTGGATAAACTCACTGTGCCAACCCGAATCAAGTGCGCCCTCCGCCACCGCGTTGATAGGCTTTGCTATACCGGTAGTACAGTAATAAAGATATAGCCTGTGTACTTTAATGACTTTCGCCTATATTAACGTTATTCATGGATATGCATCGAGTCGGCGAGCGTAGTGGTGGTGGGTGGAGGGTGGGGGTGGAGGGTGGGGGAGGGCGAGGAGGCGGGTGGAGGGGACTCTATAATAGCAAAAGCGTTCAGTAACTTGTTAACAGTCAACAAATCCATGTTTAACCATCCTCTTTGGAGGTCAAAAGGTTATCAGACATTTACTCTTCGCACGTCAGCGGAAAGTAGCATTTCACGGTCTTTCAATAAAATGATAAAAATAGTAAGCGTCAGCGCTGAAACAAAAAAGTTTTGCACTCGATCCGTTAGACCATGTCCTCAGAAAATTGTCTGATATCTAACCCTTTCCCCCACTGCCCTTTGACCGCTGACCTCCAATTTCGGCCGCGGTGTAGCGCCTGATGGTTTCCTCCCCATCACACTATACATTGAATATTAAGAGTGTAGGTCGACCTCTTGAGATTTGTGCTGCCAATTTCGTATTTCCTCCTATACCTTAAGTTAAGGGGGAAATTCCCCCTCCATTCACACATCTTTGACCTTTGACCCTTGACCCATAATTCGCATCCGAGTCTTTTTCGCCCGACCCCCCCCCCGACGCTCCCAAATATCAAGATCGTACGTCGCCGCAGTTAAGATTTGCGCCGTAACTGTTGACGCGCGGACGGACGGACGAACAGACATTCATGCGATTCTACAAGCTGCATCTGACTTCGTCAGCTGAGCTAAAAACCTGTTCTATTAGAATAAAGAATTCAAAATAGTTGCAGACTACAAGTTATAATTTACATGTTTCCAGCAATATGTCCATGAAACAATAACGACATTTTCTTATTCACGTTCTCTTTTATAATATATGTTGTTGACATTACTATTAATTAAAAGGTGGCCTCATGGACCTATTACACATTTTAACACAATAGCATTTTAGGACTATACATTCTTTGTTCCACAGCATCATTCACACATACCGCCACTTGTTCAAACTTTTCTTTCTCTATTCCGAGCATTTTCGAGGGCTGATTTCTTTGGGAGCTCAGACAGCTTCATGTCTTTGCTAAGAACCACCCGACCATATGTGGGTGTTGTTTGTGTAGCTGCGCTTCCCTCAACGGCCCATGATGGCCGGAACCTGCCCAGGCAGCCGAACTGTTTGCCCAATCGTCTTTTCGACGGTCCGTCAGACCCTAAGTCGCCTGTTCTAGAGTAAGATGCTCAGGAAGGTCACCGACTGCTGTAGTACTGCTCACCTCCAGATTTCTTACCTGCTTCTCTGTCACACCTTACAAAATAAAAAATATAAAAATATACATGTTTTTTACTGACACCAAAATAAACATTGCAATAACAGCTTGCTTACTGACCATATCTGTATCAGTATATATATAAACTATATTATATATTATAATATATATAATATATAATATATATATTTATTTATTTATTTATTTATATCTGACAATCTTATGCACCTCTGGACAAGGACAACCCCCAGTAACTAATTTACCTTAGTAACCTTATAAGCCACCGCTTATTTGCTTTGGACCTGGAAGTAAATTCTATTAAACCAATTCCTTCACCAAGTTCTAGTATAAGGTCTCTAGAAACATCATTTAAAAGTTGAAGACTCTACCTAGTGGGTGTCATATATCATATGGTGCACTACTTTCTTACGCGTATGGTCACGTCTGTGTATTGGGTCTAAACAGTTGGCGCGAGGAGTTTACCCGCCATGTTGTAATAAACCTAATGCGTTTACATAATGTCTTACGCCTTCTCGTGCCACACCAAGCTTTACATGGTGGCAGCGGTAAACCAGCCGTGAGACGCCAAGAGTGACTGGTGAGTCGGATTCCTGACACGGCATATTTTGACAACACGGTGACTTTTCGTTCGGTGCCGATACACGTCGCTGTGTACACACGCGAGCGACTCCGTGGTGAAGTCAGATTCTACACACCGATACAATGGATGGCGGCACTGTCCGGCAACACAGGCGCGCCGCTGTGTATGACAGAAATACAGGGACATTGATACGCACCTTGTACACACGTTTAAGGTGTTTTGGATTCTACATTGACTGTTACAATATAGGGACTCGACCCCATTGTGCTGTGCTATCCTGTTGAGCTGTATATACCTCCTGTGAGACAGTATGGGGGAATTATCTGGCATCACACCACCACGTATGGACTGGTCAGCTCCTGACTTACCAACTGCATTCCTAGAATTCAAGCAGTACTGTACCTTGATTCTATCAGGACCACTCAAGGAAAAATCAGTTGAAGAACAAGCCAATTTCATTCTGATTTGGATTGGCCAGGAAGGACTGAAAATCTTCAACTCATGGAACATTGTTGCGGACAAGCCGGAAACATTATGGGATAGATTTGAAGCATTCATAGAACCAACTTCAAACTTCCGTCTCCATCGTTTCCAGTTACAGAGGTTCCGACAAGGGCCTGGTGAGTCAGTTGATGAATTTATCCTCCGGTGTAAGACTCTCGCCAAGAAATGCAAATTCTCTGAAGCCGAGATGGAGGAGAGACTAATTGAACAGCTGATCGTAGGAACCAACCACAAAAAGATACAAGAAGTCCTGTTGGGTAAAGACGACAAACTAAAGCTAGAACAAGCACTAGATGTTGCTAGGTTCCGTGAAGCCACTGACTCACACATGAAACAATTTGACGAAGCTTCCGGTGTGTCAACAGTACACAATGTGTCACGCACTCGCAACCCCACACAATGCGATAGTTGCGGAAAAAACCATCCACCTAAGCCAAGAGAGGCTTGCCCCGCTTTCGGATCAAGGTGTGAATTTTGTAAAAAATTCAACCACTGGCAGACAGTGTGCAGATCACATAACACTTTCTCCGGTCGCTCTTCTGTGGATTTTCCTGATTATTGGGAATTTCGAGTAATAATCACAGTGGGAATACTTAAAAATTTCATTTATTTTCTGCAGAGCTCAATAACCACTTCAAAAATGATCAGAATAGTCGAATTATGTCAGACGGAGCATGGTTTAGTAAAACCTTTACTTTTCGAGAAAATCGCAAAAAACTTTTTTATCCCTACGCGAGTAGCTTATAAAACCGGAATTTCAACATATATGAACAGAAGACAATTCAATAATCATTCTGAACTAACGATTGATGATATTGTATAAAAAAACAGTTAATGTCATGAGCTAGATTAGTAGACTGATTCTACTTAGATTTGCTTGTCACTTCAAGATTAGAAAATTTCTTTTGAATAAAACACTTTAAACACTAGAAAAGATAGAGAAATAGTGCAAAAGGAGTCCTATATCAGAGCGATCACATATTATATGTTCATCATCAAACTCGGAGAACAATCATCCTCTTCATCTTGAGATTCAAAGTTTTCATCATTATCCTCATCGCAATCTTGGTCTTCGATCTTCTTCGTCTACACCAGTACTGTTCTCGCAGAATTCGTCATCACAGTCACATAAGTCAGTACAGAATAACCCATGTTTTATGCAGCATTGGTTGTTTCCACAGCCTTTCTTGCAGGCACAAGAAAGTATCTTCTTGATAGCTTCTGGGCAGATGTCTAAATGTCCTTGCACAGGTACCAGCTTCCCGCCACATCTCTCCCAGCCGTATTCTTCTGGCTCAAAGCTGTTCCCGAGCCATTGCTGGACCTGATGAAAAATCGTGTTGCTTTTGGGATTAAAAGTTATTTAACGATTGAAGTTAAATCAACCATCTATTTTCTAAAGCAAAAAAGGGAACACCTAAACCTAACCTAACCTAGACCTCACCTGAAGGTAAATCCTCAGAATATGCTGATAAGCAGTAGCAGACGTAGGAGGGTCCTTTAACTGAATAGCCTTCTTCCCATTCAACTTTCTTCTGTAAATCCTTAAATTAATCATGATTAAGATAATTAGATTTAATTATTATAAAGGTTTTAGCAATTTCATTCATAATACTAATAGACTGTTCAATTGAACATAATATATTGCAGTCATAAACCAATCTTAAAGCAAATTGTTTACTCAGTACTGTAAATTAAGTACTCACCAAAGTCTGAGATCCTCGAGTGAATCGTTGATACCATTGGAGTGATATAGGTAAGACAAAATGTAACTCCCAATATGCTACAGGACATCAAAATCAGGGTGCTCCTCGTAGAATACGCTACATTCCAATATACTGTTGTCTTTGACAATTGCCTTTGCAAGTTTCGTCTTTTCGATGCCGGCAAGTGATGAGACTGTGTCACAGCCTGAAGCGGCATGAATGAATAATATCTGCTCAATCAAGGCATCAGGCCATTTGTCTATCACTTTTCTTATATCGACACAGCTATTTGAAGACGAGCCATGAGTATAAACATCGATCCCCAGCTGTTTTTTCAGCGTGCTCTCGACTTCACATTATCTGAAGAAGTCAATGCAACACTAGAGGAGTGCTTGGAGTACGAGTTATGCTCGTTATCGATGCCCCTTTTTGATGTTAATGGCTACATGAGATCGACAGCAAAGGCAGGCTTAGCAACGAATCTTGTAGAAGAGTGTACACTTGACGTTGAAGTCGGAGTTACTCTACTGAAGGGTGATGTTGCTAGGATCGTATTGGATGGTGGTGCCCTTCTACACCGTGTTGGATGGACAAAGAAAGAAACGTTCCAGACAATAATAGATGGATACCACTCCTTCATCTGGAACATGTTTGGTGACTCTCGGTTTCCACATTGTGTTTGACGGCTATCTCCAAAGCTCAACAAAGGATAATTGCCACCAGAGAAGACAACCAGTAGAAGCACTACCCTTCGAGTTCTCCCTCGACAAGAAGCTTCTCTGCAAAAAGCAGGTATTCCTGTCCAATGCAGGAAGCAAGCAGAACTTCATGAATGCTCTTGCGAAATCATTGGAAGATAGTGCTGCAAAACACTTGGATATCGTACTGAAGGCTATTTACAGAAGTGGAGCATGGTAATACTGTTCAGGTAGGTGACGACACGGATCTGCTAGTGTTACTTGTCCATTACTTCAAAGCAGTGATGGATAAACCACCCAACAACATCTACATGTTCCGTGCAGTCTCTACTGGTACAAACCAGCTGTATCTCACGTACATAGACATGTATGATATTCTGCTGAGAAACTTGCATGCTGAGTGTCTGGGAGATTGGAGGAATACCTAACGTCTCTAAAGCTGATGCTCCACTACCTGGCTGCAACAAGGCACAGAGCATACACCAAGTGTGTGTACTGGTTCATCGAGGAGATGGAGAACCTCGATGATTGGACTGTGTCAACATTTAAGAAGGGTCACTTTGTGGTTAGGAGTGACAGGCTCTATGCTGGTGTTTCCGTGGATCTAGCGATCGAACAATCATTGATGACAATGAAAGGTAATAGCGGGTTAACTCGAGGGAGGAGTTTTAACGAGCTCGACTATCTAATCTGGGTTCTCTCCCGACCTGTAGTAGGTGCAATGGACACCAAGGTAAGAGAGATGACGGGGGTTGACTTACAGAACAAAGCTCAGTCAAGGTGAAGCAAGAAGGAAGTACTCGGTTGAAGCACGATGTAAACCACATGACTCTCATCGAGAACTACTTCTCAGACAGATGTTTGTTTGATCCGAATATCAAGCACACACATCTTGTAGCTCCAAAGGAAGTGAATGTTCACAAAGCTTGCGATGGTCGGTTGCTTATTCTTGAGTCAATGGTAGGACAAAATCCTCTAACTCTAACCACCAAGAAAACATCTTTGGCTGTTCAAATACCTTCAAAACGTGTGAGCAAGGTTGCTGACTCCATCTTTCACCTTCTGGAGTACTTCCATAAGGTTAGCAACAACTGGTGCATCCTTCAATGTTTTTGGGTCAAATTCTGATTTATTGTTCTCCATGAGGGATGATAAATACTCAGAGGCAGCTTCAACAGCATGTGTCTTTTTCATCCACCTGTTCTATCAGCATCTTTTTCAACACTGATGTTGTCAGCCCGTGAGCCCTGATAGCTCTCTCGTATGACTTCCCATTCAGTATCTTTTTTACTGGCTCCTCCCAATACACAGTTGAGAATGCCTGGGCTAACCCACTGTTTTTCATGACATAGCCCATGCTTCCCAGAAAACTGCTCTGGGTATGGAAGTTTCCAAGTAGCAATATCAGCTTCAGCAGCATCTCATGCTTGACTATCATGGCAAGCTTCCAGAGCGGTTGATCGAAACCGATAATCGGTGTTCCTGGGAGCTTCAGTCTTCTGTGTTGGGTTATCACATAGTCAAGAGTTGTGTGCATACAGTTCCAGTTGGTCGACGGTAGATCTATGATTGGGAGAAACTCCGCCGTTTGCTTTCCTGGAATAGCATTCCCTTTAGTTACTACATGCATTACTCCTGATATCTGGGGTGTTTTAATATTCAGGATAGAGGAGCTCACTCTTAGGTAGTCGATAAGCCCAGACGAAGTTTGTATCATAAGTCTGCTTATATCCATCTTTTCTTTCAAGAAAAGTCCTTTGATTGTCTTTTCCTTGTCTCGGGGAAAGATCTTGATAGTAATAGACCTCTTTAATATCTCATCATTTCCACCTTCCAACACTATCTGAAAACTATGCCGCCGTCACAGTAGGAACAATGATTACTGAATTGTTTTGTTTTGATCATATATCTTGAAATTCTGGTTTTAAGCTACTCGCATAGGGATGAAAAATGTTTTTTTTTGCGATTTTCTCGATAAGTAAGGGTTTTGGGTCTTTTCGACTACATAATTCGACTATTCTGATCATTTTGAAGTGGTTATTGAGCTCTGTAGGTGCTTCCTAAGCTGAGATACCAATTTCTGAAAAATCGGCGAGTCGGCAGAAAATAAATCAAATTTTTAAGTATTCCCCTACTAGGTAGTCTTCAACCTTTTAATTGTGTTTCTAGAGACCTTATACTAGAACTTGGTGAAGGAATTGGTTTGATAGAATTTACTTCCAGGTCAAGCACTTTTATGGCAAAAAAGCAGTGTATTATTTATTATCTTAGTTAAATAGATGTGTTTCCAATTAGCATTCATTAAATAACTATACAAATAAGCCTTAAATAAGTTACAATCACCAACACCTGAACATGATATATACATATATATATATATAAACTCTAACATACGTGATGCTTTATTGATCTCATGAAACTATGGCAGTTGTAGGCCTATTAGGATTTATGACGAATTTGAGATTTTTAGGATTATAAAATAACATATATCCATATATAATCAAATTTGCACACACTGAAGTGACCCTTTTTTAAATACCATGTATGACGTACAACTACTTCAACAACAGCTAGGCATCAGCTCATCATGAACAGTGGCATTCCAACACCGAGTCTTTAATTTGTTATGACGTATATTGATGACGACGGGACATGCGAGTCTAGCATGCACTACCACTAAGCACTCACCAAGCTATACTCACCAAGCTCTGCAAGAGTCAGCGTCAGCGGCAAAGCCCGCACTGACGTTGATGTACTAAGGACGTAAGGTCCGCGACGTAACTGGTAGTTCTGGTTGGCCCTCTGTCGCAGCACATGCATATCAGTTTCATTAAAACCAAGATCACACAAAGTCAAGTTCCCTGAAAGACTCCTGATTTCTGTGTTAGCAGATGCACCGACAGGCACGTGTTTAACTTCCAAGTCACTTATGGTTATTTCCTGTGGTAGCTCTTCCAGTTTAGTTTCAGGTGATAGTTCAATTGGAAGTACATCCCAATATAGAGGACTGTTCTTCACCTGATGATTATGTTGTGCATAGTCGACTACCCGAGGAATGGTTTCCTGTTTTACACCAAGATCGTTTAGGGTCATCTGCTGAGGCATCTCTTTCACATAGCTATCAAGTGACACATTTATTGGAACCTGTTTTTCTGTTAGTCCCATCTCATGCAGCGTTAGCTCGTCTGGAAATTCATGAATGTTGGTCTCGACACAAACGTTGTGTGGAAGAAGATTTCCGTACATGGGGCCATTACGTTCCTGATACATCTTGTTGGCCTCAGCCCGCACTGCTGGCAGATCATCATTTTCATAGCCCAAGTCACTGACAGTCATTTCCTCAGGCAAATTCTGCATTGAGGCCATAACTGAGACATGTTCTGGCAACTGATCTTGGATAATCCCAAGATCATTCAGCGTCATGTATTTTGGAAGCTCTGAAAGCTGTGGAAGGAAATTCAGGTTTTTTGAAAACGCAAGCACAATGACCTTGTTTAGTAAGTTATGCCATTGATAGTGTAGTAGTCAATCTAATACTATATTGACAGTATTTTGAGCTAAAGTAGGTTTCCACATTAAAAGCATTCCACACTTCAAAAATTTTAAGAATTTCCAGAATGCCCAGATCATATATATATACTTCCCTGCAGTTATATGGATGCAAACACGCACCCACCCACACACACCTGCACACAAGCAACCTCGATCTATCCACACCATTTTTGGTGTAAACATCAACTATTTCATCAATACCTTTTTATCCATGCTAAGTTCATCTGGAATTGCCTTCCTGTAAGCTGGCGCATGGCGGAGAGCATAATTTCTATTCGCCGATTCCTGTACGGCAGGCACATCGTTGTCATAAACTCCCAGATCATACAGCGTCGATTCTGGATCTAGTTGCAACACACGTATATTCTTAGAGGCCGCGTCTCGCACACTGACACCAAGGTCCTCGATGGTCAGCTCGGGTGGCAGCTCACCCAGCCGTGTCTCGGGACTAATGTCCTCTGGCACGACATTTGCGTAGATGATGTCATGCCGCAACTGGTAATTCCTGTTGGCCGTGTCGCGCAGCACTGGGACATCCGCATCACTATAGCCGAGCTCCGTGAGGGTCACGTTAGGACGCAGCTCCCGAAGCAGCTCATCCGGGTCAAATCCCTCGGGGAGCGTGTGCTCTGCTGCTCCCAGGTCACGCAAGGTCATGTCCTGTGGTAACTCGCTGAGGGTTGTCTGAATGCTGAGGTCGGCCGGGAGCGCGTCCTCATACACAGTGCCATGGCGCACATGACACGCCCTGCGTACACGATCTGACAGTGTCGGCACATCATGGTCTACAAAGCCAAGGTCACGCAAGGTCATGTGCTGCGGTAGCTCTGACAGTGTCGTGTATGGTGCGGTACCCGTTGGAAGGTGACGGTCTTTGACTCCAAGATCTTGCAATGTTAGATCCTTCGGGAGGTCACTAATCTTGGTCTCAATTCCAAGAAGGTGGAGTATGATGTCATTGACTGCACTGGATTCATCTGGTAACTCTTTTAATTTCTGCAAGCAAAACACAATTAGTTTCATGAATCTATCTATCTATCTATCTCTTCCCAGGCTTTTAACACGCTTTAATACTTATTTTCCGTATACTAATGGCAATAGGCCAATTTTTAATTACTATAGCTTAATATATATATACAGGGATGAGATTGGAGAATTTAAGTTTCAGCTGAAATTCGAATTAGCAAACAGAGGAGCGAGCAATGCGAGGACCGTAGGTCATCTCCACGCTAGGGGGGACAGGAGGCATGCTCTCCTGGAATTTTTTTAAAAGAATGGTGCAATTTGGTGCATTCTAAGCTATTCTGAACACATTATAGGAGACTCTTGAATCCCGTTTTCAAGTTGTCAAAAGGAACCAAACCGACTATGAATAGGAAAATCAGGGGGCTGAAAATAGGGCAATTTTTTTTAATTAAATGTCTAGACATAATGAT